TTCACTCGTATTTCCTGGGCAAGGACTACACCTAATGTCAAGGGAACTGGGTACTTATGTGGCTCCAGGAAGAAGAGAAAATAGGCATAATGAGCATCTAGCCGGGGTCTGTCACAAGAGATCGGATTGGGTCATATAGCTGCTAAGGCATGGAGCTGAGATGCAGAATCAGTGCCTTCTCTCTTCAGGAAAACATGCTGCAAGACCCAGAAAGCAAATATCCTTCTAGTCAAGCAACAAAATTACATCATTGAACTTAAGATATATGTTATAATTTGAACTAAGAAAGGGACCTAAATCTATAGGTTAAGTTTACTGCTGCTAGGATGAGAACATTAATTGCTTCTGTGAAATGGGCTTGAAAATGTCAAACAGGATTTTGAGAAGGGCTTCGTAGTGTCACCAAGAGTCTGACAGGCTGTAGCCAGCTGGGATAGACTTTCTGCCTTAAATAATGAACTCTAAGACCCCCTGCTGTATTAATGGCAAGAAGGCATTTTATAGAGACCATTTGACTGGGTTCATTCACAATGAGACACATGTCTCCAATGATAATTCACTCATAACTGGTAAAAGAAATGGGTAGATTTTGTTAACAAAACCACAAAATAGTTATGTCTGTATTATAGATAAGTACAGTGTGTATTAGATTGAAACAAATGAAAAGGCAAATATTTGCTTATTTTTGACCTACAGGAAGACCATTTCACGTGGTCCAACCTAATACTTAGAGGAAGTGAGTGTCTACATTAACTGGTAATCTGTAAATACATTATTTCATCATGTGAACTTAGTGCTTATCAAGCAGTCATAGTTTGTCCATGGGAAATTCCAAGTTAAAATGACCCCCAGATATTCTAAGTAGGGAACCTGCCCAGCTGGACCCCCAGGTGATGAGTAGCATTCTTCATGAACAGTTGGAGCAGGACCCCTTGAGGTGGGAGTGTGCTCGCCCCTCCTTTCATTTCTATGGGGACACTTCCTCACTGTTCCAAAAATGCCCTACTTCATTCACTTTAGTCGGTTAGGTTGTTTTGAAAGCAGCTTTTAAGTGTGAATGTTTCAAAGAGAAATCGTCCAATGAATCACTATCAGAAAATAGCACCTTTGTTTGCCAGCAGAGTGCAAGGCTGTGATGTCCTCAGAGAGACGAAGAAGTTTCGATGAAGAAGAGCGATGTGTTAGAAGTTTGGGGCTTCAAAAGTACGAGGCAGTGGTCAGTTTGAGGATGCTGTGTACCTTCTATGATTGAAGATTCGGAGTGACTGGATGGAAGAAGGGATAGAGAAAGGGAACTGGAGTGATGTTGGAGAGAAATTCAGCTTGGTTGCAGTTTGGCGCAGGGCTGATTTTACAATGACTGCGGTGTCCACAGAAGGAGAACTTATTTTCCATCTCTGCTGCATGATTCTGAAGATCTCTTAAGTGTTCTAAAAAATTTTTGAATTTTGCGTACTGATGGTCCCAGCCTAAAAGCTAAACTGGCATCTACTTCTAACTCCAACAAAGTAAAAGAGCTGTGTGGAAAGAGGTAAAGTATCTGTGAAGGAGTGGTTAGAAAGGTAAACAATTGTTGGCTACATTTCCTGTGTTTTCTTAATTTTGTATATTTTCTCCTGTTCTCCTCAAATGTGCTCTTATTGCCCACCACTCAGCTTTTCCTTTTATTGCTCCAAAATCAATATATATGAATGATATTGGGACCTCTTAATGTTTGAGTGCTCTTTTATTCCTTATTTTTGTTCCCTAGGGAATCTAATTAAGTCTCATGGCTTTAAATATAAACTATTAGCTTAAGTGTCTCAAGTTTATATATCCATTTTGAATTTCTCACCTTTATCTCCCCACTGGAATATCCGACTTGGACGTCTATCTCCATGGTCAAGTAGACATATCAAACACAGCACAAACTGCAGTTCTAACTTTCTACTAGGCTGTTCTACACGTTGCCTTTCCCTTTTCAGTAGATGGCAATTCCATCTTTCTGGTTGCTCAGGCCAAAAATCTTGGAAAATATACTTATATCCTCTTTTTTCCCCCTCATACTCCGCATCTAGTCTGTCAAAATGTCACTGATGTCATCTTGAAGTCATCCAGAGTTATATTGAGACAGCATAATCTGTTTTCTGTGTTACTGCAGTGAGTTCCTATCTGGTTTCCAGTTCTTTCCACCCACTCCCAGCACCCCAGCCAGAATGGTCCAACCCCTTCTCTCCCCAGTGCAGTGCGCATGATGGCACTCAGAGTAAAAGCTGAAGTTCTCACAATGGTCCCCAGGCCCTGTGGCTAGTTCTATCTCACTCATCTCCATGGTCTCTCATAACTCTTTTCCTCCTCATCCTTCTTTTACTCCATTCTAGCCATGTGGTTTTCCTGATGTTCCATGATCAGGATGGGCATAATCCTAGCCTAGGGTCCTCCTGCTGGCTGTTCCGTCTGCCCCCAAACATACACATGGGTAACTTCCTTACCACCTTCAACTTTTTGCTAAAATATCTATTTCATCTTTTCAATGAAGTCTATTCTGGTTACTTTGAAGAAAGTTGCAACTCTTCTCCCTGTCCTGACCCTACAGATCTACTTAGCTTTACTGTTTTCGGTAATATGTGCCACCTTCCAATATGATATATGAATATATACCATGTAATTTACCTTTTTATATATTTAAGCTCTTGTAATCTATCTAATCATTAGAATATAAACACTGTAAGGATGAGGAGGTTCTTTGTTTCTTTCTCTGATGCACCTAAAATGAGACTGGTACATCATACATGCTCAATAAATATCTGTTGACTGATTATTATTAGTTATTATATGGAGGTTAATTATTTAATACATATTTGAATAAAATCATCATACAATTTGTATGAAACTCATTGAATACTTTCTTTTGGAATTAGATATAAGTAAAGAAAACAATGGCATATATTAGTTGTCCAATAGGAAACTGTAAAAATAAATGATATATGCCACCTTCAGCAGGAGTTTAAACTTGAACTGTGATTGGACTTCTGCCCCCTTTAGTGATAAACCAGATAATTTGCACCAACACTGCTGTTTACATTGACTGGAAAAGCTTAACAAAATATTTAGAAATCTTCTAAAATCGCCTAAGAACTGACAAAAGAGTAAAGAATTACTTTGCGAAGACCTGCGAGAAGACAGTTACACAGAACATGAGCCTGGCATTTGAGATCACTTTTGCATGTAGGGAACATTTGCCAACCCAGAACAGGTGGATGAAAGGATGAGCACTGCTTGGGAAAGCCTCAGAGGACGGGGCGGGTGCGGGGGGGGGACCTAAACTAGAGTTTAATGATACCAAGAGTGAAGGGTCCATGGGACCGCCAATTGTGGATGGGGGACCAAAATTCTGCACCCTTGCAATGAGACATAGAGCAATGCTTGCATGGATTCCAGGCAGCCTTCCCATTATCCGTGGGCCCCAAAACTTCAAACCTCAGAGTTTGATCAAATGGAGCCTAGATTGCCAGTGCAACCTGAGCTCCTAGTGGAAGCAAATGAGTCTTCTTTTAGAGGAGGACAAATCATTCTCAGCCTCAAATTATAACTCTAAGGTTTCCGCCCCCCCAACTGTAAAGTCCACTACATTGTTAAAGATAAGAAAAAGAGACAAGAACACATGACTGAGAACAGAACACTTAAAGAGATCCATGGGATATCTGCAGAGTAGAATTACCAGAGGCAGACCGACATAAACCATGTTCATTATGCTTATGGAGATAAAACTCAGTGTTAAATATTTCATGAAGAAACTGGAAACTATAAAAAGTGATACTTCAAATCTGAAAGAGAGTGACCTAGAAATTCTAATAGAAAAATATGATAATCAAACTGGAAGTGTCCCCCCACCCCCACTATTATTCTCTAACCATGAACTATTCTGTGTTGAAGTGAGGCAGTGCTGGTGAATATTTCTCTTTTATTTTCACTCTTTCTGGTTATGCTTTTATCTAACCTTGGATTTTTTCCTGATATTTTTCTGACTTATCAAGTTTAACGTGAGATATAAAGTAATTATTAAATATGATTATATTTTCTTTCTCAATGTTACATTTTCATTCTCATTGCTCCTTTGTGACAATTAAGTGATAGTTACCTTGTTTAGGATACTTTATGTTTTGTTTTTGGTTTTGGAACGGTTCTGCAGTTGCTCCTTTTATATGTAGACGTAAGAGGATTTTTATTTTTGCCATTTCTTTATTCTTTTATTGCAACATTTCCTGTTAGATAACCAAATTTAAACATCCTTGAGCCCTACACATAGTACTTTTGGAACAAGTTTTCTTATCATCTTATATTTTCTCCTTTGATAATTGGTTAACTTAGCTATGAGAATTTCAAGAATAACGGAATTGTAGAGTGAGAAGAGGAGCTGAGGCCAAAATTTAAGCCCCTTACTTCTCATTTTAGAGAATCCTGTGGCTTTGGAGATGCTGAACGTTCCAGACTGGTCTCATTGTTGATATCAGACTCACAGCTGACTCATGTCACTGATATCAGAAGGTTCAGCAAAGCAATTCTCTTGTCCTTTGAAGGCATTTGTTTAACTGTGGTATTGGTTATTACATTTTCAGAGAGTTTTATAACCCTGAGATTGCATATTTGAAAGAGACTGTACTGGAAGAAGACACACCAGATGGCATAAAGGGGGAAAAAGCCAATCTAATCTAAAATGTGGTAATAAATGAATTTTTATTTAATTAGTATGCTAATGATTAATAGGAAAGTCAATACAACTGACACCAAAGATATATTAGACATGTATTATAATAAACACTCTGATTTGTGCTGCTATAGTCTGTCAGATTGACATATCCCTGCTTGTGTTTTATGTGACACAGAAGTAAAGAAAGAAAAGTATCTATTGTTGCCAGGCATACACTGAATGGTGGCTTTATTTGAACAACTCCCATCTTCCTTTCCGAGGAGCAGCATTCGAGTAGCCAGGTGTCCTAAAGGATCTGATACAACAGCAAGAGTTTGCAGGTAGAGCCTGTGATTGAGTCAGGTGAGTGGCACCGTTGTGATTGTAGGTGTTCTGTATGTTTGCAGGATAGCATTCCCGAGCAGAGGCTGAGGCTTAAAGGGCAGAGTCACGCTGTCAGGGGTGGGGAAGGGATTTGAAACAAAATAAATTAAGTTTCAGGGGTCCAGATGAATGGGTTGGGATTCAGATGAGGGTGCCTGCTCTTGGTGGGAGGAAGAGGGAACCTGAGGGCAAATCAGAGAGGTAGAAGCACAGTCACACAGAGGAGGAAAACATGACTGGGGCTTCCAGGAGGAGCTTCCACCAAAGGTCTCCAAGCTGGAACATTCATCCTGGGGACTGTGCACGTGATCCATGGGAGCAAAGAAGAGAGACACTAGCACTGTCATTTATATTTATTTTCATCTAATTCTTTAAAAAAATTACACTTCTATGTATGTCTTATGATGTATATAATATCAATCTACAATAGAACTTGTGTGAATTTACATGCAAGTAAAGATCCATGTATAGGGATGCATGCTCAATAATCTTTGCTAGAGGGTGTTGTCATCTCAAGGTAAATGGAGATTAGTCCACTGGTTAATCCAGCTTTGTACAAGGTTGACTCAAAAAATCCAATGGGACTGAACATACAGGTGATGGGGCTGCTTAGTCATGGCTAAGAGGTAAGCAGAGGAAGGACTGGCAAACTCGAAGAATCATGTGCAGTTTTATTGACTTACGCTCACCTGTCCTTCCTTCTCTACTCCTCCTTCCCTCCCTTCCTTCTGCCTTTCTTCCTTTCTCCCTTTCCCCACTCCCTTCCTCCCTCTTTTTGCAAGTAGTTGGCTCTGACAGGATCTAGTTATTTAATTCTTTACTTAAAAAAGTTTTTTTTTTTTTAATTTATTTGAGAGATTGAGAGAGCGAGCATGAGCAGGGGGGAGGGGCAGAGGGAAAAGTAGACTTCCTGCGAGCAGGGAGCCTGATGTGGAACTTGATCCCAGGACCCTGGGATCATGACCTGAGCCAAAGGCAGAGGCTTAACTGACTGAACCACCCAGGAGCCCTCATTCTTCACTTTTCTATGAGACTTTTTAACAACTAGCAAAATATCATTTATATACTTGATAATACGATCTTTTATTCTTTTGGATTTTAACAGCTTATCAGAAATACACAAATCTCTTTAGATGTCTTTTCTTTCAGAAAGTGCATTTTAATCTTTTTCTAGATTATTAGCACAAAATAAATAGTCACATTATAATTATCCTAAAAAAACTCAAAATGACCATTTTTCTAGTTTTATTAAGAAAAAATTGATCTACATCACTGGATAAACTTCAGGCATATAGCATGATGGTTTAATTTACATATGTTGTGAAATGATCTGCAGTAGGTTCAGCTAACTTCCATCTTCTTATACAGATACAATAAAAAGAAAAGAGAGTATAAAAGAAAAAAAAATATATTCTTGTGATGAAAGTTCAGGTTTACTCTCTTAGTAACTTTTCTGTATATCATGCAACAGTGTTAATTATAGTCATCCTGCTATATATTACACTCCTAATAGTTACTTATCTTATAAATGGAAATTTGTACCTTTTGATCACACTTCCTCCAATTCCCTCTCTGCCCTCCACCTCTAGTAACCACAAACCTTTTTCTATGAATTTTTTTTTTTAAGATTCCACATGTAAGTGAGATCATAGTATTTGTCTTCCTTTGTCTGTCTTATTTCACTTAGCATAATGCCTTCAAGGTCCGTCCATCTTGTTGCAAAGAGTAGAATTTCCTTGCTTTTTAATGGCTGAATAATATTCCACTATTTGTATGCCACACTTCTTTATCCATTCGTGCATTGATGGACAGTTAGGTTGTTTCCATGTCTTGGATATTGTAAATAATCCTGCTATGAATGTGGGGGTGCAGGTATCTTATCCAGTTAGTGTTTTCCTTTGGACATATTCTCAGAAGTAGAATTGCAGGATCATATGGTAGTTCTATTTTTAGTTATTTGAGGATCCTCCGTACAGTTTTCCATAGTGGCTGTACCAATTTACATTCCCACCTGCAATGCACAAGTGTTCCCTTTTCTCCACATCCTTGGAAGAATTTTTCCTCTCATGTCTTTTTGATCATGACCATTTTAACAGGCATGGGGTGTTATCTCATTGTGGTTTTAATTTACATTAATGACTAGAGATGTTGAGATCTTTTCATGTACTTGTTGGCCTTTCATGTGTTATCTGGAGAAATGTCTATTCTAGTCTTTTGCCCATTTTTTAACTGGGTTATTATTATTATTAATTTTTTTGTTATTGAGTTGTATGAATTTTAGCCTATTTTAGGTATTGACATCTTACCAGATACATAGTTTGCAAATACTTTTTCTATTCTATAGGTTGTCTTTTCATTTTGTTGATGGTTTCTTTTACTGTATAGAACTTTTTAGTTTGATATAGTCCCATTTGTTTATTTTTTATTTTGTTGCTTGTGCTTTCAGTGTCATATCAAAAAATCATTACCAAGACCTATGTCAAAGAGATTTGTTCCTATGTTTTCTTTTAGGTGTTTCATGGTTTCAGGTCTTACAGGTAAGTCTTTAATCCATTTCAAGTCAAGTTTTGTGAGTGGTGTAAGCTTTGGGTCCAGTTTCACTCTTTAATGTGAATATCCATCTATCCCCACCACCATTTTTTGAAACAGCTGTCTCTTCTCCATTGAGTATTTTTGGCTCCCTTGTCAAATATTAGTTGACGATATGCTTGGCTTTATTTGGGCTCTTGGTTTGGTTTCATTGGTCTATTTGTTTTTATGCTGGTATCATGCTGTTTTGAGAGCTATAGCTATATAGTATAGCTTGAAATCAAACTGTGGTGTCTCCTGCTTTGTTCTTCTTTCTCAGGATTGTGTTGGCTATTTAGGGTCTTTTGTGGCTTTATATACATTTTAAGAAGTTTTTTTTCACTTCTAAAGAAAATATCATTGAATCTTGGTGGGAGGAGGGTATTAAATCTACAGATGGCTTTTGGCTGTATTGACATTTTCACAATATTAATATTTCTAATCCACGAACACAGGATACCTCTCCATTTATTTGTGTCTTCTTTGATTTTTTTAATCAACATCTTGTAGGTTTCAGAATAAAGATCTTTTGCCTTTTTTAGTTAAACTTATTCCTAAATATTTTACTGTTTTTGATGCTCTGTAGATGTGACAGTGTTTTTCTTTCCTTATCAGAAAATTCACTGTTAGTGACAATGACTATTTTAAACTTACTGTTACTTTAACCATTGTTAAAATTGCCAGTCTAATTTAGACTTTTATACCTTGAGCTCTGAGCCAACAACTTTCATCTTTTCTTTATCTATCCTTATGTCTGGTGTGTGCAATCTAGATAATGAAACAGCATCATTCTGGCAATCAGAGACTGGAACTTCAGGATGCAGACTGAGTAAGGCTCAGGGAGATAAAATTAGCCTTTATTTACAGTACATGAGAATAAACTAGACTGTCAGAATATAGCAACACTGTGTCATGCTACATTCAGTAAGTGTTTACTGAGTACCTCTTACAGGCGAGGCATTGTGCCAGCTGCTGCAGAAGTTGAGGGGGAAGATACAGGGCAATATAAAATACGTTATTGGATCTTAAGAAGCCTATAACGTGCTTGGGGTGATAAATCAGACACATATATAAAGGTAAGTAACAGTTATAAGTGCCAAATATGTATTACAGACAGTAAGATTTTAAGAGCTCATGAGAAACATGAGTCCTTTTTTTCCCCTTTTGTTTTCTTCCTTTAATTCCCTGCACTTTTTCAAATCTGTTCATACTTGCTTAGATGATTTGATGTGGATGATTACAATGCTTATACAAAAGGACATATAAATTTAGCTATAGACAAATCTAATTATTGCATTTGGTTTCTTTCATCCATCCATTCATCCTTCAGTCATCCATCCATCACCGAACATTTATAAAACCCTTTTTGTGTACCAGGCACATGCTAAGTGGTAGAATTACAAAGTGCATTACAAAGGATACAAAGACATCCTCATTCATATTTGCTGATGAAAAAGTCTATTTGACAACAAATGAGTGATTTGGGGATACTGATAAAGGATAGATTCAGCCCAAGGATCATATTCGTTCATTCTCTCACTGACTTATGCATATATTAAATGTTTATTCTTGTGTGCCAGGCACCACGTTCAGTGATGGGGATATAGTTGTAAAAAGGTAAGGCATGGACTCAGCTTGTACAGTAAAACTGGTTCTAGTTTTCATAGTCCTTATAATTTGTTTTTTTAGTCCTTACAGTTTAACAGAAGAAGCAGACATTAAGCAAATACAGCTGGTCCTTGCGCAACATGGATTTGAACCACACAGATACCAATTAAATGCAGATTTTTCCATAAATATAGTACCATAAATATATTTTCTCTGCCTTATGATTTTCTTAATATTTTTTTCTCTAGCTTACTTTATTGTAAGAATATGATATATAACACATATAACACAAATATGTGTTAACTGTTTATGTTATCAATAAGGCTTCTGGCTAATAGTAGGCTATTAGTATTTAAGTTTTGGGTAGTCAAAAGGTATATATAGATTTTTGACGTGTGTGGGGGCATCAGTGCTCTTGACCTCCATGTTGCTGAAGGGTTAACTCTAATTACTGAATCATAATTGTGAAAAATGGTGTGTAAGAGCAAAACGAGGGCTATGGGAGCATATAAAAGGAGAACTAATCTCTCTTTGACAAATGGTGTTGGAAAAACTGGACAGCAGCATGCAAAAGAATGGAATCAGAACACTTTCTTACACCATATACACACACACAAATTCAAAATGGATTAAAGACCTAAATATGAGACCTGAAACCATAAAAATCCCAGATGAGAGCATAAGCAGTAATTTCTCTGACATCAGCTATAGCAGCTTTTTTCCTAGATAGGTCCCCAGAGGTATGGGAAAGAAAAGCAAAAATAAACTATTGGGAGGGACAATGTCAAAATAAAAAGCTTCTG